TGTGAATGAATGAGGAAGAAGTTGTAGACCATGTCGGCAACCTCCTTGTTATGTGAATGAATGAGGAAGAAGTTGTAGACCATGTCGGCAATCTCCTTGTTATGTGAATGAATGAGGAAGAAGTTGTAGACCATGTCGGCAACCTCCTTGTTATGTGAATGAATGAAAGAAGTGAGGAAGAAGTTGAATGAGACCATGTCGGCAATCTCCTTGTTATGTGAATGAATGAGGAAGAAGTTGTAGACCATGTCGGCAATCTCCTTGTTATGTGAATGAATGAGGAAGAAGTTGTAGACCATGTCGGCAATCTCCTTGTTATGTGAATGAATGAGGAAGAAGTTGTAGACCATGTCGGCAATCTCCTTGTTATGTGAATGAATGAGAAGAGTTGTAGACCATGTCGGCAATCTCCTTGTTATGTGAATGAATGAGGAAGAAGTTGTAGACCATGTCGGCAATCTCCTTGTTATGTGAATGAATGAGGAAGAAGTTGTAGACCATGTCGGCAATCTCCTTGTTATGTGAATGAATGAGGAAGAAGTTGTAGACCATGTCGGCAATCTCCTTGTTATGTGAATGAATGAGGAAGTTGTAGACCAGTTGTAGACCATGTCAGCAATCTCCTTGTTATGTGAATGAATGAGGAAGAAGTTGTAGACCATGTCGGCAATCTCCTTGTTATGTGAATGAATGAGGAAGAAGTTGTAGACCATGTCGGCAATCTCCTTGATATGTGAATGAATGAGGAAGAAGTTGTAGACCATGTCGGCAATCTCTCCTGAATGAATAGGAGACCATGAAGTTGTGAATGATGTGAATGAATGAGGAAGAAGTTGTAGACCATGTCGGCAATCTCCTTGTTATGTGAATCCTTCGTTATGTGAATGAATGAGGAAGAAGTTGTAGACCATGTCGGCAATCTCCTTGTTATGTGAATGAATGAGGAAGAAGTTGTAGACCATGTCGGCAATCTCCTTGTTATGTGAATGAATGAGGAAGTAGTTGTAGACCATGTCGGCAATCTTCTTGATATGTGAATGAATGAGGAAGAAGTTGTAGACCATGTCGGCAACCTCCTTGTTATGTGAATGAATGAGGAAGAAGTTGTAGCCATGTCGGCAACCTCCTTGTTATGTGAATGAATGAGGAAGAAGTTGTAGCCATGTCGGCAACCTCCTTGTTATGTGAATGAATGAGGAAGAAGTTGTAGACCATGTCGGCAACCTCCTTGTTATGTGAATGAATGAGGAAGAAGTTGTAGACCATGTCGGCAACCTCCTTGTTATGTGAATGAATGAGGAAGAAGTTGTAGACCATGTCGGCAACCTCCTTGTTATGTGAATGAATGAGGAAGAAGTTGTAGACCATGTCGGCAACCTCCTTGTTATGTGAATGAATGAGGAAGAAGTTTTAGACTATGTCGGCAACCTCCTTGTAATGTGAATGAATGAGGAAGAAGTTGTAGACCATGTCGGCAATCTCCTTGTTATGTGAATGAATGAGGAAGAAGTTGTAGACCATGTCGGCAACCTCCTTGTTATGTGAATGAATGAGGAAGAAGTTGTAGACCATGTCGGCAACCTCCTTGTTATGTGAATGAATGAGGAAGAAGTTGTAGACCATGTCGGCAACCTCCTTGTTATGTGAATGAATGAGGAAGAAGTTTTAGACCATGTCGGCAACCTCCTTGTTATGTGAATGAATGAGGAAGAAGTTGTAGACCATGTCGGCAACCTCCTTGTTATGTGAATGAATGAGGAAGAAGTTGTAGACCATGTCGGCAACCTCCTTGTTATGTGAATGAATGAGGAAGAAGTTTTAGACCATGTCGTGGTGGTTTTCTGAGACCTAGGACAGCCACAGTAACTAACTGACACAGCAGGATAATGTCCTTGACTCACCCAGAAAAGTCACAGACGTGCAATAGGTTGATGCCCTTGTCTATCAGTAACATTAGAAGTAACATTAAAAATAACATTAAAAGTAACATTAAAATTAATTCAGTTATTTGATGAATGATTATGATGATGAATAGATCTGTTATATTAACACCTATAACTATGTTGACTTCACATATGTTATGCAGTGTGTGATGGAATTGGGATATGAACCCTTGGTTGGTTAACTGGATGGGGGCAGCACTGTTAGAAAGAACAGTGGTACTTCGTTTGGTAACATGATGAGGTGGACCCAGAGAAATGATGATATATTCCAAGACAGTTTCATGGGGAAATATCATCAACAGAATTGACCTAAAACACCAAGGACTGAAATCTGTGGAGAGATGTTACCTGTGCCACTGGGCAAAGCAAATGATGATAATAGTGATAATAATGATGAGGATAAAGATGTGTGTAATGCTGATGATCTGATGTTGCTGGTGGTGATGATGGGTATGATGATAGTGAAGCATATTTGATGGTATAAGGGGATGATGACAATGATAATGTTGATTGTGTCGCTGTTTGCATAATTCATATCTGCCACATTACATTTTCTTCTCTTGACAGGACTTGACAAATGTAAGTATTTTCTCAACACTGGACAGGGTGAGTAGCATTTTGAATGTTGAATTAAGAATCGACTTCACAGCACTCAAGACACCCCCATAAGTGCTCTGTCCTCATCTTCAGCAGCAAGCGAAGCATTCCATTTCAGATGGCACCAGTAACTGTCTGATTGTAAATCCGTCTTGCCCTTTCTCTGAGTGTTGAGCGCCAGCCAGATCCTCTTGTAACTTTTCGCAACACCATTCTGCCCAGACCGTAATGATCTATCTGTGCCTCTTCACTGTTCAATCGCTCCTAAAGAGCCCTCACAACATCCAGCTTGTTCATTACCAAGCGGTGCAGAACTGGCCAGGCTATCTGCCTGCTCATTTTCCAACACACCATCATGACCTGGAGAAAATATCCAAAGGATGCTTACTACCCGGGACCTCAGGGTAAGTAGCAGAGGAGATTCATCATTGCTGAGACAAAATTGAGACAATTTGAAACTAGCTCAAAAGCTGACATATAGATGACGTATGTTGCTTTGCTAAAAAAAATGGGTCAGATTAAAACGGCATCCCTGATGGGGAACTTTATGTTATAATTGTGACTTAGGTTATTTGTGCCATATGAAATAGCTTGGCCTTGCATTGCCACTAAATAGCTCTGAGAAAAACTCTTGGGGTGTTGATGTGATCAAAGGAGACGGGCGCAAATATTGTCCCAACTGATGTCTTGTTGTCTACCCGCCAGCCAATGGCTGACCCGGTCGCGGATGGATGGATGACTTTAAATTTTCTGGTTCAAATAGGGAGCAGCTCAGAATGCGGGGATGGGGGGAAAGGTGAGGGGATCAGCTTTTTTCATCATCATCAGATGCCTTTTGTGACTGGCATGAGCGATCATGCCTCTCCACAATCTGCGGTCTGCAGCTGCATGTATCAGTTTGTGTGTTGACATTCCTCCATACCATGATAAAAGACTGTCAAGAATCTTCTCACGCTGTCTTCCTCTGTCTCTCTTTCCACACTTTCTTCCAATGGTCACAACATGTTACATTTCCCCTCTTCTCGTACCATGACCAAACAAATGATGACTGTCTCTTTCTGATGTTTGCGATAAGTTGTCTCCGAGCACTCGCCTCTCTTAAAACATCTGGATTGCTCTTCTTAGCTGTCCAAGGAATTCTAAGTATTCTTCTGTGAAACCATTTCTCCAAGGCCTCCAGATATTGTTTGGCTTGTTTATGAATTGTCCAGGATTTGGATGTTAAAACTGGCTCTACATAGCATACGAGAATTCTTTTCATAACCTCCAATGACTTGGATTTATTGCATCAAAATAAGGGTCTTAGTTTGATCAAATGCATTTCTGGCCTGTCCTATTCAATTCTTTATCTCTGTGATACATCTTCCATCGGATGTTAACCATGTATCTAGATACTTACATTTCTGTACTTGTCCTAAAATAATGTCTGTGACTGTTATTATACATTTAGGCACTATTCTTTTCTTGGAAATCACAGTTACTTCTATCTTTCTACTTTTTAAAACAAGCTCTGTGAAGATTGAACACATGACCAACAGACTGGTAGATAAGTGTTCTAGCTACTGCACTCAGCCTTGTATATTACCTGGGATGTTAATGAGTGTGTCATGCGTGTTACCTTAAAAAAAAAAAATAATGTGCACTTTGTTACTAAGACGCATGCCAGGTATGTATATTATCTGAGATATAACAGTGTCATTGACCAAGATCTTGTTGATAAGTCTTTTGTTGCATGTACTCATTTATATTGTTATTTTTCTCTCTCCTTTTTTTTTTTTGGATGACCATTCTTACCTGCATCTTGGACCAACAGGGGGTGAGTTTGTTTACCTGATAGTGATTAATTTGTTCTCTTGTTCATTTTATTGTAAATTAAACTTATCTTGTGAAGATTGCAAGAGCATAAATAGAACATTGAAATAATCAACCAGATACATCCAAGGAACGTCTGGAGTATCACCCATTCTAAAATCTCTCTTTGTAAACTATTTCATTTTCAAAGTCATTATCTTAACACCGGTGCAAGCAAAACTTCACGGGTCGCTGAGTGAATTAAAAGAGACGGTGAAGTTCATACTAGAGGCAACATTGCAGATATAGAGAATCTATTTCAGGAGAAGATAATATGAACATACTGTGATGGACAAATAATATAGTTTTGACTGCTGAAAATGAAACGCAGTTGCAGGACATAATTGTAATAGATAGTCAAAATAAGGGTCTAAGTTTGAACAACAATAATAGTAAATTAGAAAGAAAACATACCTTCCACACACACAAAATGCTACATTAAAGTAAATGGGACAATCCTCAAGCAATTTGTGCATTTAAATACATGAATGTCCTGGTAACAGGAAATGGAAGCTCTTTTAAAGAAGTTAAATGTAGAATAGCCTAAGCAAAGGCAGCATTTTACAAAATAAAGAACATTTTATTTCATCTTTCTTTGTTGGGAGCTGTGATGGTGTAGCAGCTAGATGCTTGCCTGTGGACTTGACGGTTGTGAGTTCGTGTCCTGAGGGAGCCTGAGTTTTTTTTTTTTCCAAAAAATGACCTGGCTCCCATGTCAACCAGTTTTGAGGGGTACCAGGTATAGACCTGGGAAGTAAAGGTTGCTGGCAGTATGTTGACCACATCACTCACCGAGTGCCGATTGTTCTATAAAATAAAGATCTAGCCCTAAGTGCCCAATACTTCCTGTGTGGGTTCCGGTGCCCCATTATGGAGAAAACAAGAATAGACCTACTGCCTATCCAAAAGCATGTTGTAAGAGTTGACTAACTAAGAGCTTCCTTTGAAGTCGTACGTCCGCCTGAGAAGCAAGAAACCTACAATCTGCATACAAATAAGTTAGACATATGAAACGGATGTGCATGCAACACTCAGTTTCTGGAACAGGACTAGAGTGCAGAAGTGGACAAACTAACTTTCTGCCAGAGTTTACAGCTGGTGAAGGGAAAGAAGAAGAAGATATGCCCAATACGCCTAAAGACATGGAAAAGGGTCCTTAAACTTTTTGTTTAAATATTGATTTCTTTGTTAATTTAGGTGAGAAAGAGAATTCTTAAGAGCTATATAAAATCTGTCCTGATACACAGAAGTGAATCATGGACAGTTAGCCAATTAGTTAACAAAAATATGTGGAAGCAGCAGATTCTTCAGGATGCCTTGACCGTAGACACATCCTATTATTATAAAGTTTCTCTTCTCCTCCTCCTCGCTTAAGAGTTTCTTTAATGTTTTCTGTTTGTATTGTTTTTGGTCTGGCTCTTGCTTTGTGTCCCTCTCCTGGTTTGTATTGTTTTTGGTCTGGCTCTTGCTTTGTGTCCCTCTCCTGTGTTTGTATTGTTTTTGGTCTGGCTCTTGCTTTGTGTCCCTCTCCTGGTTTGTATTGTTTTTGGTCTGGCTCTTGCTTTGTGTCCCTCTCCTGGTTTGGTGTGTGATTTATTCTATTCCTCTGTCATTTATCATCAGTCCTATAAACATGTGCTCATTAAACTGAAGTTTTTCTGTTCCCATCTGATGGACTCTTCATGGATGTCTGATGGTTCCCTCTACTTCATGGTACATCAGTATGTAAGTATCTCCATATATTTCTGTTACACAAGTATGATTCTATCGTCTAACTCAGCATTATTTGACACCTCTGGGAAATTTGGGAAAAATAAAACTGTTTTCCATTGTCTGTTTAAAACATTCCTAATGAATGCAGTGGTTGGAGCATTCTTAGCAGTGATGTAGACATGCTTCCAAAATCCTTTGATCGTCCTGTGGTGTCAAGAGCATTGACAGTATTGGTGCAATCTATAAGCCGGTTATCTGTAACTAAGGCAGAGCCAGCCAGTTTGTCTGCTCTTTTATTGCCAGCAGCACCTGTGTGCTGTAATGACTCAGCCCAGTGTCTGTGCACATAGTCTGCCTTGACCTTCCGGATGATGCTGATAACTTCACTAAGCAACTGGATTCAGCTCTGACAACTCCTGTAGAGCATGACAGTGCATGAGAAGTTCCTATTGAAATGATTGAATTTCAGTGACAAAGTGGTTAGTATGGCTGCCTGAAATGTCTGTGGTTCCGGTTCAATTCTCAGCAAAAGCAGGATTATTTTTTGTGATCAGTACAGCACCGGTGTCCACCAACCCAATGAAGTGGGTCCTAAATACAACTTAAATTGCGACTAGAAAGCTTAGTGTAGAAAAAGAGGCACAAATACAACCAAATGTTTCAACCTAAGCCTTGACCAATTGAGTATTAAATACAACATAAACAGTGACTACAAAACTCAGCTGAGAAGACAACAGAGCTGTGATTCAGGACTAATATTTTATAGATCAGTCAGTACTCAGTGAGTAATGCAGGCATCAAACTGTCGGGTTGAACTGGGAGGAAAAGTCGTTTTAATCAAATGTAACTCTGGGGGGGATTTGAACCTGAGACGTTAGGTTCAGCAGGTAAGCATTTGGCCACTACACTACTGTGAGTGCAAGCCTAAAATAAGTGGAGGCATAACACCTCACACCTTAATAGCAATCACTAG